CCTGACAAAACAGAGGCAACAATTACACAATCGGTGTTCGATTGATATTAACAAAAGAAATATGAAAGGACGGATATAGTGTTAATTGTACTAACTTAAAGACGAAACTGTTGAACCGTTACCACACTATGTATTCTGTTTAGTTGGTAATATTATTGTGATATGAAGCAGAGCCGTACTATATGAAACGCCGTGAAAGGCAGGCACGGTCTCCGGCTAGACTGTTAGAGCATTGAACTTCGGGACGATCTGGCATAAACTATTTTACTCGCTCATTGTCTTCCCTCATCTAACAACCACGACAATATTTGCAGATGATAATGAAATAACTATACAGTATTTGTATGCCAATAATTAATCATTTATTAATTAATACATCCTTGAATATTTCAAACTAGGTCATAGTCCTAAAACAGACATCTTTGTGAATTGAATAAGAGTGATTGTCACAGAGACAAAAAAAGGAAAATAATCTGTCTTTCTGAGTAAAATTTTATGTTGTTCATACAATAAGTCCTAGTTTGTGTAAAGCTGACTGTAATGTAAGATAGTTATAAGCAGATAAAGACGATCATGACGCTATATCTATCATGGATATGGTAAGCATGTAATCAGTATAAACAGTATTGGTTTGGTCATTGTCATTTTTTGTTTCTTATTTGTGGTTTTTTTTTTTTTTTTTGTATTTTTTTTTTCTTATTCTAAATGTAACAATTCATAACAAAACGAGACAGAATCGTCACTAAGGCGTTGAAATCTTGCATCATATTCAGTTTATAGTATATTGCATGTAAGTAACGGGTTTATATTGTTTCACGTCCTTTCAACAGCTATGATCATTTAAGGACGACATTTTTTGTAGTATTATGTACAGAAGCAACCATTATGAAACATATACATAAAACACGCACAGTGCTCTCATATCACCTGTCAATGATGCATCACTGTGTGATATAGTGTGGAACGCCCATCACAAAAAAAAAAAAAAAAAAAAATCTGACCTCAAATGCACAGAGCGTATTCCTATTTATATTCCGTTGTAGGAGATTGTGTTTTAATTAGCTTTAAGTGTCTGTGGCTTCTAGAATGAGTACCGACAGCATATACCTGTTGTGATAAGATCGGGTCTGTTGGGAGTATTTCAGGACCTATATCAGGATCAACGGCTGTGTTACGACCTTCAGTAACCAATAATTCGTTATTCAGGCACTTCTATAGATGCTTCTATCTTTTTACTGGAAGTTAAAAGTTGTTTTTATTTAGCGGGCGGACTTACTGATGAAAAATGCTCTCACGGTAGGTAATGTTGTTAAAATATTATAACACTTATACAGTCATCATATAGATATACGAGGTTCATATTGTCTTGAATTCAAAAATAGTTAATATCAGAAATGTACACATTACCGTACTGAATATGTTTTGTATTGAGTAAAGTCTCCATCATGGTTCTTAACTGATATTGAGTAGTCGAAAGAGAGCATGTGGATAGCACGTTCAGAATGATGTTAGTGATAGATAGATTTTATGATGTGGTTATAATATGGGGAAAAATCAAAGTTCTGTTTTGTCTGAAAGCTGTTAGTAATGAATTTATCAGTATTCATAAAAACATTACTGATCGTAAACATGTAACATGTAGTAACATGTAATGTTTTTGATATCAATGAAAGTAAGCATTTAGATGTGGTAAAAGCTCTCACCTTATCTTAAGTAGTGTAAACTTAAACAATACATCAATCTATCCGGCACGAATCAAACATTCAAGCACCACTTAATAATCAACGATTTTCTGGCATGTTTTTTCCTGATCGCCACTGACAAGAAAATATTGTGCTCTGTCCAATTCTACCTTTCTATCGTTCCTTTCTGGCGTTTGATGGTGTTAGAACAATGTATATGGTTCGTTATTAGAATGAAAAGATAGATATCGTGAATACGATGTAAACCTAATGTATCATTAAATGATGTCCGTTCTCAATCAGTCATCACATAAATATATACTATACATCAAATGCAGTTTTGATGCATATCCTATATATCACAATGCTTCATTTCTTTCTTTATCAGCTGTCTGTTCTCTGAAGTTAAATGACCATTTGAAGAAAGCTGAAGGGTAATTGGGCAAATGATGTATTGATCAGATGAACGGGATAACTATGTCCCATAAGGGCAAATGATCAATATTTATCGTGTGTTTCTACCTGTTTATTATGATTGCCTTTTGTAAATTTAATCAGATCGAATGATATATTCTTTATACAAGGATTAATGGAGACTTTGGGTTTACCTCGTGCATGAAAATGAAATACTGCTACCGCTTGGTAGTGCGATAAACAGTTGCGTATTTCACTGTTGTGGATAGGCGAACCTAATGGGAATTTGGGAGTGTGGCGATCATGTTCATCATAAATGCTATGTTTTCTACAAATGGCCCCTGATATTATTAGAGAATAGCATTATATATGATGATAGTGTGCAATTAGTAAAATGAACACGATAATATAATGACAGGCCGTAAAGCATTGAGACTTTGTATATATATATATATAAGCAATTATCTCGTCCAGGGATACGTTCATAACAAGGCAAGGCATAGATTATCCTTTAGATATATCTATTTGATTTGTAACCTTTACGAGTATTTCTCTCTGGAATGGCAATAAAATGAGAAGTATGAAATATATTTAAACTCAAATTATTGATCATGAAATCCGAAGGTAAATTGAACCATTTATACAGTAGTTTACCCGTTATATAGTATTAATATTTAATGAGCTTTCTGTTTGACCTATTAAGTGGTATATAATCACTTACACCACTGTGGTTGTATTTACAGCCTCCTGTACCTACTTTTGATATTGAAAATTCATACAAAACTTCGGAACAAAACATCGGAAAGGAGCAATCGTTATTGTGTAAACTGTGTATCTCGACGATCATACACAGACACATGCTAAAAGAAATCGAAAATCAATGTGCGTGTTTATCAAATGATTCACAATTCTGAGTGAAGAAATTGTGCATTATAATTGTTGTGGATTATACCAGTGGATAATTCTGACGTCGGTGACCGAATGTTTTTATTATAATATCATTATTATTATTCATTTCATAATTTTACTGACTTTTTTGTAATATTTGTCCAAATAATTCTTTTAAGATCATATAAGGTTCGTTTATGATCTCTTTCTTTCTCTTGGTTCTTTTTTATCGAAGTTGTCGCTGTACTTGTGTATACTCTTACATTTCTATTTGACAACTCTCGCCTCATAAAGATCTATTTGGTAGTCTTTGTTTGATTCCTGGCATGTATTCGTTGTCCAAAATCGGTCTAATTGTTCAGTCCGTATGAAGAGCGTACAAAATTGGTTATTCACAGAGATGCCAATGTTGAACGCGAACGTAGTTTGATCACTCGTTTATATTCAACAGGTACTACAACCGGCTTGGATTCTTAAATATTTAATCCAATAGCTATACTCTGATGTCGTTGCCCATTAATTTACTCATTAGTGTATCCATGCAACCCATACATTGTCGGGCCTACATTTACGAATGATAAAGGTGTAAACAATTGATCTAATGTATAGAAATTATCAACGGATTTTTATTTTCTTTTTTTTTTTATTCACAGTATCAAAAATTTTTTTTCTATTTTTTTTTTTTTTTTTTTTGCAATCCTTCAGATAATGAATTTGAACATTCAGACTAACTTAACAAATAACTAGAATTTCTTAATTGCACTCTACTGCCATGAATTACCAATAAAATACGAGTAATTGAACGGATACAAAAACATGAAACTTGCTCTAACCACGAATACAAAACATGTCATGATTTTCATGATTTTTGAGTTAGGAAATATTAACGCAGTTGACATGTTCAATTACCCATGCAATATTCTCAATAGAGTACACGGTGATAGCGTAAAAACAACCATGCAGAAAGAAAGATGAAAATGAAATTAGAGAAACAAATTTCTGTGTTAAGTTTAATCTTGATCATATCATCTTGATGAAATAAATTTATAAAGTAAGTAATTTTTTGATCTAGATAGATTTGATAAGAAAATGATGAACTAAAAAAAATATCTACGATGACATGATTAATCATTTTGCACTGTCTGTCAGTTTTGAGACTTGCAGGATCGTCATAGTTATCTCATTGTATATTATGTTTCTTTGTGCGCTATGAAATTGGACGTGCATGGTTTTCGTTAGTTTGCCTATTGGTTCCATTGTTGCCCCCTCCCCCTCCCTCCTTTTTTGTTTGGAAACAGGACATTACTGCTTGGATTGGTCAAGATTTACATGGCATGTGTCGTTAATTAAGCAGAAGACGCTATATCTTCCGAAATACCTGGTCTTGTTCTCCTTTCCCCCTTTTGCTTGAGTCTCCGTGAAACTCTTTCCATTCTATTCATATTCTGTCCTAGTCTCATCGACTTTGTGTTTGAATTTCTGTGAACATGTCGGTATTGTCTTTGTTTGATTACTGGAATGAAGTTGTACATTATATTGGGAACTGTAAAGACCTATTTACTTATTTATTAATGTCGATCTGCTAAACGAGCTTTGAATTGCATATTGTAAATGGCACAACTATGCAGGTAAATAATAAGGGATTTACGTCTTCAATAGACCTCTAGTTTATTGAAATAATCGAGTTCCTATCATTGACTTAACTAACAGCTTTGAGAGTCCCTTGATAAATCAGCGAGTTGTTTAAATATCAAGATGAAGTATTGTATTGATGATGTGATTGTTCAGGTTATCATGGAACGTTTGATTATTTTTCAGGGAAATCCAGAACTAGCGTTTCGAGTGGTATCAGGCTGTCGACTGCAATGTCCAGACCAGATCGATTTGATGATGAAGACCTACTAAGGGACGTGGATGTAGAACTTCGCGACAGTCCAACCCAGAACGGGAGACAGGCGAACTGGTCGCAGTTTCGGCTGACGGATAAAAAGATTAAGAAAAGATCAAAAGTTGGAAACAAGAATAAGAATATGGAAAAACAAATCATCCAGAAGTCATCAGGAATTTCAACTGTTCTCAAGGATTTCGCAGAGGGATCCACTTTCCACGGACTTCGATATGTGGCTCAAAAGGGATCATTCATTGGTAGGAAGTAAGTAGATCTGAACGCTTCAACTTTACGATTGATAAATAATCATCATATAGGCCTGGACAGTATGTAGAATATATAGGTGCTTTAAATTCCCCTGGGGTTTACAGTTTTATTGGGAAAGAAACATATAATGTTTTCCTCTGGTAGATGTATTTTCAAATGCATTTATCAATTGATAGTCGATACACTTTAACAGAACAATAAATTATCGTTAGTTTCTTTTAATACCTCAGACGGTAAATATCTAACAAAAACAGTTGGATATCATTATCTCCGGGTGTTTTAATACGCTTCAAATAAGTCTCATGCTCATGAAAGTATTGTTAAAACATGGTAGTATTTCTCTAGTGTTTACTTTCAATTACAGGCAGTCTCAGACATCACCATGTATTTTGTCCACAGCCAATATATAAGTCATAGTTTTTACAAGTATTTTACATGAAATGTGATCTGTAGAGCAGTTGATCTATTCTAGTCTTTATCTAATGGGTTTAAACTGCATTATTTATCTGAGTTGGTTATAGAATGCTAAAAGTACTTGTTTGACTCCTTGGTGAGGAAAGCTATTCATAAAGTATAAGCTATAATCAATTATTACTTAATTAGGTAAACTCATTTCTCCTTATACTTTTTAGTTAGTAATAGCAGCATTCATTTGATATTGAGTAGTGCCATGGACCAATGTCTAATTCACTATGTCAATAGCCTTGTATGGGAAACAATAGCCACGTGTGTGTAGGGAAAATCCACCTTCGAGTTCAAAGTTGGGCGATCCAGAATATATTCACCTACATCAAATTTTCAAACTATCCCTTATTGAAAAGTTTCTTAGTCGTCTCATATATTTCAACACATTGTGTCCTTAGGCATCACTGACTTATCCTAGAAGGACAAGATAATTGTTTGATGAAGCATCACTGTCGAGACTTAGGAGGACGAGACAGCTGTATAACGCAGTCTAAATAATGTTTTCTTGCATACCACGTTTTCATACATTTTAATAGTGTCATAATATACACATCTACTAGGGTTGTTTCAAAATATTATCTGATACATAGAAAGATATTGAATCCTGGGGCGTGTGCACTTCCCAATATAGATATTCATTTTCTTTTGATCACTTTGTCGCCTCCAAGTTTTCAATGTTTAGGCCCTAAACTGTCATTATTTTCCTCTACTATGTCTAATTCTAAATTTGTCTGATAAGGAGCTGCTAATCATTTGTGAGAATTTTGTTCAATCTTGTCTTATAATTCTGCATCAACAAGTGCGTATCACTTGTGTGTATTTTGTACAATCATTTACCGTGTCTGATCCTATGAAAATACACTAGACATTCATTTACTTGCAACAAAGTTATTACGAGATAATTAACATGCTCGGAATATTACATTTGTGTTTGGCAAATTTCACGATTATTCACATTATTACACTATATTGTAAGGTCGTTGTAATTATGAGGTTATAATTGAAGCTGATCAAGCTGTATTGTGACGTCACAATGATTTTGCCGTCCGTACTGTGTTTCAGCTTACCCCATCACTGGATTTATCGTAGACATAAACTAGTGTGTCTCTCAATATAATCCAACACCAAATTAAAATTACCCTGAGTGCTGTTTGTAGTCTTGGTGGTAATGTCAAAATCAAAAGGTTTCCGCCAATAATATTGACAATGGATACGTTTAAACCCACTCTATCTATTTCGACCTCTGGCCCCAGTTGTTTAAACGATGATATTCAGTGGTTTGTAATAAATTCCAATCGTGAACTGATGTGCTTTGAGCATTTTCATTTAACACTCTTATCTGTTCAATGGTATCAACTTGAACTGTTCACTAACCACTGGATTACTCTAATTAACCTTTAAACAACCGAGGCCTGATCCCATGTAAAAAGCGGACTTGGTTTGGGATACTTAAAAGAATATTTGATTACGTAATAAGGGTCATGTCAGTGATCAATATAAATTGGATGTGAACTGTGAACACATATTTTGTGTAAGACCTCTATGTCATTAGCGCAAGTGTATACTATATAATATTCAGTCAATAAAAGAACGCATGATGTTTAAATCCTTGTTTTGAAAAACACATTAAACTTTCAAAGACAAATTTTTCAAGATGATTGTTTGGTTGTCCACTCTGTGCCTTATCTTAAGAAAACATGATTTTCGCTAAAAACTTCCATGTATTTTAACAAAGTATCAACATATGGTATGATGATGATGTTTGATAATAGCGAACAATCGCGATATACTCAACTAAAAAAAAGTTGACATGATTACATTTAAATTGGCTTAGACAACATGATGTTTCTTTGCAACATACAAAAATGACATTATTTACATAAAAAATAACCAATATCATTTAAGTGTTAAAGTCTGCTACATATTTGTGTCCCCGCCGAAACCTTTTCGTGAAAATCAATTGTACACCTGTCTCTTTGATTTTGAATTCTCAAAATGATGTTGCTTATCAACTTTACCATCATTCCCCGACCAAAACAAAATCAGATAGAAAGGTATGTAGGCAACTGGCTTGTAGTGTTAAGATATAAACTGTGTCAAAACTATCATCCTCGAACTTGCTGACCGAAAACCATGACTGCTAGAGATGACTGTCTTATATGATTGTTAAATCAGGTTTCTTCCGGAACCAATCAAATTACTTCGCTTGTGTCTTCCAGGGGTGCAGAGAGTGACATTGAAAGTGACCCCCCTGGTCATTTGTCTGATAAAGGGGATCGCGTAGTCATTAAAACGTCACACTGCCATCTTCTACTGGTTGTGCAATTTATTCTATTGGTACTGATAGGGTTTCGTTTACTTTATATAGGATTTCTCACTGACTTTTTTTATATTCCATTTCATTTATCTATGTTGATAATGAACAATGTTGGATGACTTTGTCCACAGATAAATGATGCATGTAGATCATATAATCTATAGTGTTTTATTTCATTGTACACAATGAACATTGCAATACCTTGCGTTCACTGCTTTTCACACGAAAAACCGTTTTAAAGAACGCAAACATTGAAATAACAATATATTTTTAAAGGATTTTTAGATCAAATCAATATTTTATTTTCGCAACTAGTTACCAGCAGTTTTGAATTTTTACATTGGTGGCAGTCTGCAGTTTTCTACTTTCGAGCTATGCATGGCATAACTCCATTTCAAGGTGCCATAGTTTTGATAATTTTATTGGTAATGAGGGAATTCCTTTTTCTACATAATGAATGCCATTAACCTTTCGTTACTGTGAAAACAGCATCACTCCACAATGTCAACACACTCCTCTACCATCAATATCCATGCAGTTAAGCTAATTAGCTTCATTTTCTATGACAGTCTGTTTTTTATTCGTTTTTAATGTCTTTCAAATTGAAATGGAGCATTGATTGTGAAAAACGTCTAAATGTATTTGCCTTCGTGAATGCAATGTATGTTATTTTCTAGAATATGCGAAAGCTTTCCTCCAATAACATTATACTGTTAGTTGGTAATATTCCCAAGGTCATTAACTGTATATGTTATCGCTATATTCGCTGTCAGTAAGGATAGCACGAAATCAAACACCCAGCGAACACTTCAATACAGAATGAGAACCCCAGAAAATAGTTTTATTAAGAGTACATAATTTCGGTAAGGAATTTGAATAAAAGCAATCTACGGTCGAAATACACAATACACATATGTTCTTGGCGCTGTTCTAAAATTATATCATGTATGAAAATTACGAAATTTATGTAATGATGTAGTACACCTGAAGATTTTTCATTTTCCTTTCAATCACTTTGAGTTTCCTCAGTCGCCTCCTAGGCTTTAAAACGTAGGCCTTTATCATCACTGACTATCCTAAAAGGACAAACAGTTTTCTGATGCAGTTTTACTGAGTATTTGGCTCAACTGTATCTAACTCTAAATTTGTTTTAAAAGGTGTTGTGCACTTGTGCGTCTTTTGTGCAATCCTAGTGAGTGAAAATGATAATTAATCACATCTGGATATGAATATCTATCTACCAAATTGTTATGCAACAGCAAACTTGTTCCAGCTGTATTTACAGATTAACTCCCCATCTTATCTTTGAAGTTAAATAATCACTATGAATTGATCGTATTCCCTGAAATTCCAAGGATTATACTCTCAGAGCACACCAGCTGTTACAGATTTAGATAGGGATATAGGTTCATCAACACCTATGCGTGGTCTTATAATAGCCGGAAAGGATTACATCTTGTTGCTTTTAATTTGTCGTGTTTGTTTACATTTTAATACAGTAAGCCTAAGGTTATATGGAAGAGCGATATACAACCTTATTTCACGTAAACAGTTACTATGTTGCTTTAGATAATCCAAGCATATTGTCATATCACAAAAGCAAATGTTTATAATGATTACAATGAGAAATATTCTATTTCCTCGTGCGATATATGCTGGACATGTTTGATGTTCGTAAGTTTCCTTATTAGTTCCGTTGTTATACACCGTATTTGCATTTGAGAACGTGACATTACTTCCTTGGATTGATCATGATTTGTATGGCGGGTGTCTTCTATAAATCAGGAGACGCTTACTCTTCCGAAACACCTGGTCATAATTTGCCCTAGTTTCATATCATTTGAGTTTTGATTATGATTATGTTGACACGTTGGTACATTCTTGAAGTTTTATGATAAAGGAGTATGAAGCAAATATGTTTATCTATCAACGCCTAATTAATATTTACTTATTAGGAATATTTTCCGTGTAAATTGTCTATAGTACTTTCCCATGTAAACTAATACACGATTTATGACTAAAATTTCATTTGTTTTAGGTTGCTGTGGTTGATGATGATATGCGCCTGCGCATCAGTGTTAGTTTACCAGATAGTAGACAGGGTGGGCTATTACAATGGATGGCCAGTGACTGTTAATGTGCGGGTCAACTACAACACCTCGCTCCAATTCCCATCTATCACCATTTGTAACCAGAACGCCTTCAAGTAAGTGAAACTTAACTGCATTACCCATCTATCATCATATTTTACCTAAACACATTCAAATGCGTTACATTTAAATTCAATTCCCATCTATCACCATATGTAACCAGAACGCCTTCAAATCGGTGACATTTAACTTCAATTCCCGCCTATCACCATATGTAACCAGTACGCCTTCAAATCAGTGACATTAAACGTCAATATCCGTCTATCATCATATCTAACCATAACGCCTTCCTGTACATGAACCCTATCACATGAAAATAGGCGTGTAGTACATAACCTGTTAGATATTTGAATTGCCAATGAGTTAATTTAGGACTGGTACGTTTAACCTTTTGTACCACGGTTGCTAAACCCTTTGATATAAGAAATGTTGGATCCAATGTATATAAACCATAGCTTATTGTCAAATGTGTGATGTACAAATACTACATGAACATATATATTCTATCATTTCAGGGTCAATTTGAGTAATTACGTTTACTCATTTACACATATCACGAATTTAATTCCTCATATGTCGTGGTGTTTTCTGTCAAACTTCTTTCTTACCTAAGGCACTAGTTTCTCATGTTATAGCAATGAAAGTGTTCTATTTTTCATATAAGAACTAATTTAAGTACCTGCATGATATCTTGTACCACGTTTCTACAATTTGATTTTGTTGTGGAAACGTAACACATAATTTCAATGGTAAATTATTTTTGTGTTGTAAATTTAACACGCAGTTTTAGGGTAATACTTCACGTTTTGTAAACTTAAAGCGTCGTTTCAAGCGGAATGTTTTTGTCGTGTCGAAAACGTAACAGGTTATTACAAAGGTAAAACAATTAATGTCGAAAACCTAATACGTGATTGCAAGGCTTATATATCTTGTTATGTAAACCAAACACATAATGTCATTGAAAAAGTATCTTGTTTTGTCATTTTAACCTCTTCAACACATAACACTAATGACAATGATGTTAACAGTGCTCGTCAAAATGTGATACCATTTCTGGTGATTTCGTAGAACTACTTTTCTAAAAACATGTTAGCGTAAGTTATGCTTGAAATTCTTATGTTCAGTGTGGATAATATGTTTGCTTTCCTTCATCCTTCTCCATCAGTTTTGTTTCAGGTCAAAAATGAAACAGGTGACTCTAGACATCACTTTGAATATCATAAAAACTTTGGTATTGAAAATGAAAACATAGTCACTAAAAGGATTGAAATTCCAGACTTGATCTAATATAGATTTTACATCAACCAAGATCAAAGTTTGTGTAAGATTCTATTTCCTTGTCTAAATTTTGCTATGGATAATAGTGATGATCCTTGTTTGATTTCTATCCAGTACGTGTATGCAATTTTTATTTTCCGATACAAAGATTCCACAAAGATTGACAGGCACTCAATACATTAAAAACAATGATTACAATTTTTTGTGGCATCCATCCACAATGATGGTACAGAAAAGATATATGGCTGATCTGTAATTATCAATAGGGGGAGTGGTTTAGATTTCTCTGTCATCTGCAATCAAGATTAAAGTTAAATTCCAGTTTGTATATATGATTTTATGTTCTGTCATGTTTAGCTGACTTGGTACAGTCGTATGATGCATACAGACGTCACGTGTACTTAGCATGTGTCTATTTCGTCTCAACAATTATCTTACATTATGTAACCCCCAATCACTAAGTCTAACGTACATTTCATTCAAATAAAACAGTAAGGAATATGTTATGAAAGTAATAGTTCTTGCACAACATACCATGTTGTTTACGAAACAAATACCATTATACTATATTTACGTAATATACATGATTTTCTGATTTGCTAGTAATGCTGTATATGTTTTCATAGCAACAAACACGTGTAGCCATCACGTGTATTGAATGATATTGTAAAATACCTTGTTATGTAGCCAACTTCATATTGGTTTGACCCTGGGATATGTCATAAGCTTTCATCAAACAAACGCTAATACAGTTATATAAACAGAAGCCCTTAGATAAACATAGACATTTTGGTTGACAAAGATTTCTAAACGATTGCAGTTTTAAATGTTTACCAATCAGTGCTCGTGTCCTGGTGTGTCACGTGTTTTAGTCAAGATTGGACAATAGACGATATGTTACCGAACTTCCTAACTGTAATGACACTAAACTTCCCCTCTCATCACCAAACCATATAACGTCGAAATATTTTATTGATTGAATGAAACAAAATTATTGAACAACAGACATAAGGCCTATATAAGCTTCAGGATGCATACTTTATGTTTGAAAACAAAGCCAACAAAGAAACATAATAATGATACAACAAAGAATAAAATCTAAATTCCTCTTTATACTTTTAACTCGTTTCTCGACACACAATGAATATAAAAAGAAAATCAAATTATGAAATTAATAATGAAAAGAATATATAAATACTTATTATGCAAAATTCATATGGGTCGATTTCACACCTATGTAATTGTCCCATATGTATTTTCTTTCATTTCCAAGACTATAAGGCAATCGCATCTTCAAATGAATACTTATGTATATCTGTATGTGTTATAAGTGACCAAGTTCCTTGGGTAAGATAAGCTGATTTATATAACAACTCATAGAACATTTATTCTAAATCTCTTCATACTAAATATTACTAATAATCATTGTTTAAAGAGGGATGCGATTTTAAATATCATGGGTTAATTATCTACTTTGTCAGAAAAAAAATATTACATAAACATGTAAGTACTGTTGAATACAATTACGCGCATTCATAAAGTCCAAAACCTATATTAGCTAATGAATATTTGTTTTTACATAATAACAATATTAATAACAACTCAATTATGATTGTATTACCAATTATATATACAAACTTTTAACAACAACAAATATCCAATTAGTGTTATGACCATATAATAACGATATAGACATTTGATGACTGAAAGGCAAACCGACCTTGTATATTAATTTGTATATAAATATTCGTATAAGTGATAGCAATGACATTATATATATGTAAAAATATATGAATAAATAACAATAACAAGTTCGGTACAAGTGCTTGTAACACTTACTGGGCACTTTAGCACTCCACTTTCATTATCACATCACAGGGATGATTCACTCTGTATGTAATACAATATATAGACCCTTCAGTACTCCACTCTCACCATCACATCACAGGGATGATTCACTCTGTATGTATGTAATACAATATATAGACCCTTCAGTACTCCACTCTCACCATCACATTACAGGGATGATTCACTCTGTATGTATGTAATACAATATATAGACCCTTCAGTACTCCACTCTCACCATCACATCACAGGGATGATTCACTCTGTATGTAATACAATATATAGACCCTTCAGTACTCCACTCTCACTATCACATTACAGGGATGATTCACTCTGTATTTAATACAATATATAGACCCTTCAGTACTCCACTCTCACCATCACATCACAGGGATGATTCACTCTGTATGTAATACAATATATAGACCCTTCAGTACTCCACTCTCACCATCACATTACAGGGATGATTCACTCTGTATGTAATACAATATATAGACCCTTCAGTACTCCACTCTCACCATCACATTACAGGGATGATTCACTCTGTATGTATGTAATACAATATATAGACCCTTCAGTACTCCACTCTCACTATCACATCACAGGGATGATTCACTCTGTATGTATGTAATACAATATATAGACCCTTCAGTACTCCACTCTCACCATCACATTACAGGGATGATTCACTCTACGTATGTAATACAATATATAGACCCTTCAGTACTCCACTCTCACCATCACATCACAGGGATGATTCACTCTGTATGTATGTAATACAATATATAGACCCTTCAGTACTCCACTCTCACCATCACATCACAGGGATGATTCACTCTGTATGTAATACAATATATAGACCCTTCAGTACTCCACTCTCACCATCACATCACAGGGATGATTCACTCTGTATGTATGTAATACAATATATAGACCCTTCAGTACTCCACTCTCACCATCACATTACAGGGATGATTCACTCTGTATGTAATACAATATATAGACCCTTCAGTACTCCACTCTCACCATCACATCACAGGGATGATTCACTCTGTATGTAATATAATATATAGACCCTTCAGTACTCCACTCTCACTATCACATTACAGGGATGATTCACTCTGTATGTAATACAATATATAGACCCTTCAGTACTCCACTCTCACCATCACATCACAGGGATGATTCACTCTGTATGTATGTAATACAATATATAGACCCTTCAGTACTCCACTCTCACCATCACATCACAGGGATGATTCACTCTGTATGTAATACAATATATAGACCCTTCAGTACTCCACTCTCACCATCACATTGATGATTCACTCTGTATGTAATACAATATATAGACCCTTCAGTACTCCACTCTCACCATCACATTACAGGGATGATTCACTCTGTATGTATGTAATACAATATATAGACCCTTCAGTACTCCACTCTCACCATCACATCACAGGGATGATTCACTCTGTATGTATGTAATACAATATATAGACCCTTCAGTACTCCACTCTCACCATCACATCACAGGGATGATTCACTCTGTATGTAATACAATATATAGACCCTTCAGTACTCCACTCTCACCATCACATCACAGGGATGATTCACTCTGTATGTATGTAATACAATATATAGACCCTTCAGTACTCCACTCTCACCATCACATCACAGGGATGATTCACTCTGTATGTAATACAATATATATGTAATACAATATATAGACCAATATATTCAGTACTCCACTCTCACCATCACATCACAGGGATGATTCACTCTGTATGTATGTAATACAATATATAGACCCTTCAGTACTCCACTCTCACCATCACATCACAGGGATGATTCACTCTGTATGTATGTAATACAATATATACAGTACTCCACTCTCACCATATCACAGGGATGATTCACTCTGTATGTAATA